CCTTCGTGAGTTGGCGTTGCCTTAATGGCGCCAACATTGGTGGCTGCTGTAATTAGTTGATTACACAAGCAGCGCTACGTCCCCCAACGTCCCCCCTTCTGTCTTGCCCTGCCGCTTTCTGAGTGGGAGCTTTGCTGTTTGCATTGCAAATGAAGTTACGACTGGGTGGCGTCCATGGGGTGGTGGCGATGGATGCTGTGCTGTGGCGGGACAGCTGCATGACGTTGCCATTTGCGAGTGGTTCTCTGCCTCTGCCTTTGCCTTTGACGCTCCATTCCACTCCTCTTTGGCCGGGAGGATGTCGAGTGTTTTTGGTTGAGAGCCACACGAGCGTACCGAAAAAGGCAAACACACACACAGACACATACGCACTGCTGCACGTACTTTTGTGTGCTTGTGTATTTACCGTACCATCCACAATTTGCAGGAGCAACTCATCAACTCTTGCCTCAATTTTTTATTGAATTATCAGCATGCCACAGCATTTTGACAGGGGTGTGGTGGTGAGCACCGTGCCTCGGAAGGGGAGGAGTAAGGGTAGCACTTTGGTACTATTTAAACCACTCAGGCGATCCCTGGCCGCCTGACTATATGAAACGGTAACCACAATGACGACGACAGCGAGCGAGCCCCAGCCACGACGATGGCAACGGCAACGGCAGCGACAGCGGCAGCGGGGGCAGAGCCAGTGAGCCGTGCGGTTTACATAGTCGATAAGCAGGCTCACACGCACACACACCAGCACGCATACACTCACGCCCACTTCAACAGCAGAAAAGAAAGAGCAGAAGAAGTGTGGGGAGGGGAGGATGAAGCAGAAGGGACGCCAGTGGCGGCACAAGGGTGCTTTTGGACAAAAAAGTAGACGAAGCAAGCACGACCCAAAGGCAGCAAACGAACCTAATTTGATAGCACACACACACACACACACACATACCCATGTACATGAGTACATACTCTATATATGTATGTGTACATATGTATACTTGAATGTATATTCTCTGCTACGCATTCGTTCAACTGGCAATGCTCATTAAGTACTCTTCTTTTTCTCTCGGTCCCTCTTCTATCAGCGCTGTGTGTGCTGCTCACATTCGTTACGTGCCGGACATTGGATGGGAATTTAAATTGGTAATGTGACCGTAGTTGTTGTTGGAGTTCGTTCTGTTGGAGCCGTAGCTGCTGTTACTGTTGTCGATGGTCGGACGTTAACGTCCTCGACACTATCGCACACACTTGAGTACATACGAGCGTACCAGCGTTCTACCTACATAAATGCATGTGTACATAGTGTGCAGCGAATGCTGTACATGGCATTCGTGTGTACATAAAGTTGTATGTGCTCACAGCAAACTGCAAGAGACAAGACATCACACAGGGACGTCTACCAGAGGGGGTTAGAGCATTTGATAGCATTTACAAGTCCCCTTTTGGATTTAGTTAAACGATTGCGATGCAAGCAGTTCACCCAAGCAGCCCCCTTTCGCCAGTAGCGATCCCTTCGGCGCGACGCCCCTGCGCACTCAGTGTCCCATACCCATGCTTCATGCTGAAATATGTATTTTCGAGGCGCACAAGCTGCGCACATAATGCCCCGCACCACGTCCCTCCGCTCCATAGACCCACAACAGCTACAGCTACAGCTACGTCTACCTCTCTGCCACGGCCGCTGCCACTGACACTGCCTCTGCCTCTGCCTCTGCCAGTTGTGTTTCTCTGCCTCGGCTGGCGTCCGTGGCCTGCCTCGACCGCTATTTTTATGTACAAACAGGGTTGCATGCAACATGGACATGGTTTTCTCGTTCTCCCTTCTCCCTCCTTCCGCTTCGTCGTTCCTCTTTGGTCTTGCGTTTCTATTGAGGTTGCGTTTTGGAAAGAGCATTTGGTGGGACAATTTTTTTTCGAGTTTCTTGTTTCTGTTTCTGTTTCTTTTTCTCTCGTTGCTTCCGCTGCACTTTGGTGCTGCTGCGGCTGCTGGCTGCCGCTGATTGTTGCTGCTGCTGATTCACACATTCCTAATTGAATTATCACGCATAAGCGGACTGGAGCCGGGGACGGGACGGGGACTGAAGCGCCAGATGAAATGTGTTATGTTTGTGCCGGAGCAGCCCCCCTTCGGAAATTAAATATCGTCTCTATTTTTAGACGCCAAAAACTAATTAGACGAGCAGCAGAGATACAGCAGCCCTGGCAACTAACTAACGGTCTCTGCTCAAGCTTTGTTCAAAAGCTGGCGCTGGGACTGGCGCTGGCGCTGGCATCGCAGTCGACGTTTCAGTTCAGTGCATTGGATAGGAGGCCGTTTTTGGTATTAAATTCGAGAAAGGTTTTCGGTTTCGGTGTCGTTTTATGTACCGAAACGCCCACCGCTGCCTTGGCCCGCTGCTGCTGAGGGCTTAACAAAGCGTAGTCGCACATTTCCATTTTTGTGCATGTACCATTCTCGATTCCGTTTTGCTCTCTCGATTCGTATATACTATGTGTTTATTTTATTCCCCCACCCCTGCAACCCTCATACTACAGGGCACCGCTTAAACGCTGCCCAGCTCAAAGAAATTTCACTCCAAGCAGCGACGCAGCCAGAGGCAGAGGAGCGAACGCAACGAACGGACCGAACCGAACCCACCCTTCCAGTACAACAGGCACACGAATACGCACACACCACTCCAATCCACACCACTATGTAGAGGAGGCAGCATCGAATCGTACTTTGGCTTTCCAGCAACTAATTGTATCGCATTTGTTGTGCGGCGGCTCGGAGTACATAAGACTTCCTCTCTATGTACTATGAGACTATGTATTGTATGAGTGGGTAGAAAACCGATGTTTTTCTGTGTGTGTGTGTGTTTGTGTGTGCGTTCAACGCACTCCCCTCCATACACCACACTCCACACACCATCCGAGACGACTCGCCAAAAACAACAGATACGCTGCTAGGCGGCACAAATACAGCTACAATGACAGACCGGAGGCGAAATTTTGTCATTCCTCTGTAGAAACTGATATTCCTCGATGCTGTTGTCGCTGTTGTTGCTCGGGGCAGGAATTCCGAGCATTTTCACAGTTATTCGAGGGTTGGCGGCGCGGCGGCACGGCCAAAGGAAGCTTCGCTGGGATGTGGTCTCTGATAGCATCACAGTTGCTTTTTAATATCTTTTCAGCTAAATGGATACAATACTTCAGAGGCGGGGGTTCTATCTGTGTCCGTACCCGTACCCGTACCCGTACCCACATCCATGTGTGTGTATGTGTTTTTCAATAGCAAAATTAAATTATAAGAATTTATATTGGCTGTGGGGCTTTTTTTGGGGCAACGGAGTGTGCTACATGGGTTTATTTCGTTTATGTAGGGTTTATAAATGATGGCTTCTCTGCATGTTTGATAGTAAATATAGAGCCTTTTGGTTTAATTTCTGGGCTAAAATCAAGTTTAAAGCCAACCCAAAGTTTTTTTCGAGTCGAGGAGAACCGCAAATCCAAGAAAAAAGCGTTCAATCAGCTAATTCAGTAATTACCATTTTGCAATACAAAAAGAATACTGAAAAATATCCTTAAAGCAATGATTAAGTAGTACTTAGCGTTTTTAACATATGGTCATATCCTTTACATAAGTTCCCGACTCCCAAAATGGTGCCTCTCATAAGCACTCTTTGACACTTAGGCAGTCCTTTTATTCTCCCAAGAAAAGAAGTGAGATCCATTCAAGAAAGATAAAAGAAAAAAAAAATAAATTTCACTGGAAGTACTACCATAATAAAGCTAATCAAGTACAGTTAATAAAATGCTTTTCTAAATATTTTGGGCTATCTATCGTACTACGGCTAGATGTTATAGTGCGGTGACCCATCGGATTTCTATGCTTTATGTGAGATAGAAGACAGACAAAATGGTAATAACAAGTTTCTATGAATCTATTTCTATTTATATAGCTCAAAAATCGGTAATTTTTCGATCAATAAATCATTTCTTGTCCTGATACTGAGAACCGTTCTTCCTTTTAAGTCTCGTTGGAGCCGGTTTGAATGGTTGTTGTCAGAAGCACAGAAGCGACGGTATTTACAGGCCCAATATGTGGTTCCATCCGAAAACCAGTTTCGTGACCGTAAGACCCATAAGAAATGCTTCTTGGCATGAATACCAAGTGCAGAATACGATGAATATGCCGATGTGAAGCCTGATGTGGGGTGTGTGTTCCTCTTATTTGGCCTTCCAGGAACCAATGCAACGCAATTAATGCGGTGAGCGATACACGCCTCTTGGCTTGGCCACTTACTACTTGCCACATGTTGTACGTCCACAGCGTATCGCCACCACAGCCAATTGAATTCGACGCTCGTTCAAACCACCACCAATCACGAGAGAGTTGTTCCGAAGAGAAAACGAGCGAGCAAATCGGAGAACGGCTATCGTTATACTCTGGTAGCCAAACGAATGGAATCAATCGGTTCAAGGGTGAGAAAGAGAGAAAAGTATATACTCGTAAGTATCCGACGGATGCGAGTAACTCTACGTGCATACGTGTCATTCTACATGCCATGTAGAGTTCCATTCGAAAGCTCATCGAAAGCTCAACAAAGTGAAGCATACGATGGGGATGGATCGATCGGATCTCCAAACAGTTGAGTAGCTATAGAAAACAGTGAGCGATTTCAGTTGCAGATTCAATCTCGAGGGATCTGATTATCCACTGAATATATCTATCTGCGCTTTGGTACTCAGCTTTCTTGATGGATCTTTTTCTGTAGAGAGGAATACACTTTGTTCTATATGTATATACATACATATGTATGTACATACGTATAAGATATTCGTTGCTCATTATATGGTACTCCTTATCCACATCCAGCAATGCACTCGCTTTAATCTTTGGAAACTTTTTTTCTTCTGGAGTCTAGACCTTCTTCAAGGGGTAAAGTCTGTCCAACGACCTCTGGTGTAATCAAATCCACAAAATGTTTTCTCCACTGAACATCGCGAGAATAAAGCTAAGAATTGTTTCGTTGGCTTGAGTTTTCAATGAATCAAAGTTTATTTTGTGACTGATGGAATATAAATATTGTTGCTGACGAAATACCAAATTAAAGAAAACACCGTTTAGCCCCTGACGAGGACCTCATAGGCATCTAGGCGCACCTCCTCGCCACCGAAGGGGATGTATAGGCATCTGTGGGACGGATGGACCTTGCCGGGAGTCAGGCTGCCGCTGTGGTAGCCGCGGCCAATGTACAGGTTCTCGCCCTCCGTGGTGCGGCCACAGACGATGGAATTTGGTGGCACATTGCCAAAGCTGTCAGGAACCCAGCCATAGCCGTATCCGGCCAGCAGCTCAAAGTCGTGCTTGACGTGCTCGGAGCCGCCGTATGCCACGTAGGCGCAGCCCTTGTTGGGAACCACCTGCAACGGAACGAAGAAAGGCATTAGGGATGTGGTTTGCAGCTGGCTTGGATGCTTTCATACCTTGGCTGGCAGCAAATCACCTTCGTGGTAGGCGCGGCCCACAAAGATCTGATCGCCATCGGTGTCGTGTCCGCCCTGGACTGTTCCGGGCACGATATGGCCACCGGAGGAAGAGATCCATGTCTCCGGCTGGACCAGCACTTCGTACGCCTCTAGGCTGTGCTGTAAGCGAAGGGATACGTGAGTGTGATGGCTCCTTTCGAGACGACTGCGGGATAGTTACCTCCTTTCCGCCGAAGGGGATGTACAGGCAGTGGTGCGAGGGATGCACCTTGCCGGGCGTCAGGCTGCCCTGGAAGTAGCCGCGGCCAATGAACAGAGGCTCTCCGTCGGAGGTCTGACCCACGCGAAGGGCATGGGGAGGAACGTGTCCGCCGCTGGCCGGGATCCAGACGTAGTGGTCGCCGGTGAGGATCTCTACGTCGTGCTTGTTGATCTCCTCGCCGCCCCAGGCCACATAGGCCTGGTTCTTGTTGGGAATAACCTTGGCCGGCAGCATGTCTCCGTTGTGGTAGGCACGGCCCACATAGATGGGATCATTGTCCGAGTCGTGTCCGGCGACGATGGCGCAGGGCGGCAGCTGGTCGAAGACGTTGCGGCTGATCCAGGTGTGGTCTGCAGAGGGAAAATGTGGACCAAGGTTAGACCTGACGTTTGTCAAAATATATTTTACTGATTAAAGCTCAGCCCAGCCCGGTGCTTTGACTGCTGATGTGTACAGTCGGCCTGCCACACCACACCACACCCCTCGCACATTAATAACAAGAACTTGGTCTGTTATCTCACGGGGTGTGAAATCGTAAGATCTATGAGAAAGCCACCGAAGCTCCAGGGGATTTTCACTGTCAGCTGAACTTGGTATCGATGGTTCTTCGGCACTTATTCGTTGGTTTATTTTGAAGCACTTTTCGCAGGAAATCTACCAGTCAAACCTTACCCATGGTGTGTCGTTGAGTGTGGGATTATTTCTTCAAAAAGAGAGCGTAGGGTAGGGACCGTGCAGTACGGGCTGATTTTAATGACTGGCTAGCAGTCGTGGCTGTAGCTGCGTTTTAAAAGCTGTTGTGCCGGCGGTCTTTTGCTTCCTTATCGGCTGGCAATGTTAACTGACTTTGATAAGATATCTTAGTCAAAGTCATAGGGCCCATGCGGTCGCTGTGTCACTGTGTTTTGTGGTAAACAGTGTAATGTAATGGGGATCTTTGCTCCTTCAAGATACCATCATCTAACAGGAAGCAGTCATTATTCAATCCATCTATATATCATATAAATATATATATACATTGTATAGATTTATAGATGTATATAGATGTGTATAGATTTTTGGACCTTATCTTTGAGCGATTGGCCTGGTACGGGAATCTTATCGCCGTTAGTCGAAAATAACTTCGATCAATAAGCTCGTAAAGTGTACCTCTCCTCATGAACACGTATGTCCGTGCCTCAACCCTGAATTCTGTCGCTCAGATATATATACTTACGGTTGGCCATTTCGTAGATTTCTTGGGAATACATATTGGGGAAAAATTTTGAAATTTTTAGGGCCGAAATGGGATGGGGTGTCGGTTAGTTTCTGTGTCTATTTCTTGTACATCTGGATTTTGAAAGTCAGGGCCGAAACTTTTGAGATTCTCTGTTGAGACTTAAATTTAGACAGGAGGAAAAGGCCGACTTTCTGACTCAAAAAATATCTGATTTCCATATGGAAGTACAACACACTGTGGTGGAGTCAACTTTTTGTCTACGAATAACATTGAATACAAATCCTGTCGGAATATACTTCCTTATGAATGCGTCATCATTCGTCACAGAATATCTGGAGAGTACATATGCATGTATACATGTATATGAACCTTTCGCACCTTTTTGTCTAGATAAAGGCTAATCAACTTTTGTGGAATATTGTTTCGGGGGATTTTTCGACAATACATATCTGCTACTGGCATGTTGTCATATTATTTTATGGATTCATTGAAATGGAACACCTGCTTTCGCTTTCTGTACCCTCACCCTCCCCATCACAGAGGGAAAATCTCTCTGGGCCCAGCGACTAATGACTCATTCCCGGACATAGTACTATATGCGTGATACTTGAGTTTTTCAAGAACAGGAAAATACAAGAGATATCGAAGCGCAGAAATCAAGGCCTCACTATCAATACCTATTGCCGTACTCTGCGCACAAATGCTCCTTCCCATTCAGATATATGTACATATGTATGTACCTACCCCATATGATAGGGTTATTTACACATAAAAAAGCTCGTTGATAAGAAAAGCCGATAAATCAACTTGGATGGGGTGCGCAGTGTTAACGCCACTCCGCTACTGACCAATTTCTCAGTGGAAAAACAAACCTCAAGCTGTGAAGTCGCTTCAATATCGTACAAAGTATTCCATTTATACAGAGGAACGCCACCCCCCATATCTACAGAAAATCAAAATGGGTATGTACCATGAGAAGTTGCATCAAAAATCGGTTAAAGGTTCGGATCAAAGTCGAAAAACACCCTCCACGCATCCCACAATCCAATCCCCGCCCGCAGATCTGTATCTGACTTGAGTACATTTCTCTCCTGTTTGGTTCTCCGTTTTTCTTTGCACTCTTCCAGGCGCCGTGCAGCCAGGAGCAGTTGTGAGCATTGGTAGGACGAGTGCGCCCAGTCAACCCAGTTTTCGTAGAATATGTAGAAACCCCCCTCCCCCAACCGATTCCCCAACCAATGAATAGCAATTCATTGTCGAAATACACGGCACCCTTGAGTATATAGGAACAAAAAAGAAAGAACATAGTGTTATCTTATCGCGCAGTCAAAGCTTATCGGTTCCTTTGGTCCTCTCCTTGCAGAACACACCTGGGTGCACTCAACTCCATACGCCGCACTGCCACCCTACGCTGTCATCGGTGGCCACGACTCGGATCGCAGCCCCATCTATGTGGGCCGATCCTTCCACGAGGGCGAAAACCTGCCTGCCAAAGTCATTCCCAGCAAGGGTTGTGCCTATGTGGCCTATGGTGGAGCGGAACACTCGAAGACCCACTACGAGGTGCTGGTTGGACAGGGCTTTGCTTGGGTGCCCAGCTGCAGCGGTGGTGTGCCGCCCAATGCGGTTCGCAGTGGTACTACACGCACCGGCGAGCCCCTTTACGTGGGACGGGGTCACCATGCCGGCAGCTTGAGCGTCGGCAAGGTGCATCCTTCGCACGGCTGCCTTTACATCCCCTTCGGCGGCCAGGAGGTCCGCATCAACACCTACGAAGTCCTGATCTACCAGCAGCGGGACGTTTGGGTTTCGGCCTCGCCCGCCTACACTCCGCCTGGAGCTGTTGTCGCTGGCCATGACTCTGACCGGACTCCCATTTACGCCGGACGGGCCATGCACGAGGGCGAGATGCTCCCAGCCAAGGTGATTCCAAGCAAGGGATGCGCCTACGTCTGCTACGGAGGCTACGAGTTCCAGAAGCCTACATACGAGGTGCTCACCGGCTACGGATACGTCTGGATTCATGTCCAACATCACGGCATTCCACCCAATGCCGTTTCCACGGGTCGTGCCCGCAATGGAGATCCCATCTACTTTGGCCGCGGACACCATCAGGGCAGCCTGACTCCGGGTCTGATCTCGTCGCGCCAGCGCTGTCTCTACATTCCGTACGGTGGCCGGGAGATCCGTCTCGACTCGTACGAAGTGCTCTGCAGGCAGTGAATGCGAATCCCCGGACCGTTAAGCCACGAACTGCATTTAGTATTGAACTAAGTTTAAACCCTGTAACCCTGCGTTACTTATCCAATAAAATCCCATCTTTGCTAACCTAAAGAAACCCTGGTTGCCCTTACTCTTACCCTTATCCTTGACCCTTGAGGCGTCTCCTCTACCAACCCGTACTAACACCGCCGTACTCTCCTCCGTTTCAGCCTACAAATGGGTACAGTCCTCGGCCTACTCTTCCATCCCTGAGGACGCTGTGGTGGGCGGCAACGACGAGGACGGTGCAATGATCTACGTGGGCCGGGCCGAGCACGAAGGCGACATGATGGTCTGCAAAGTGGTGCCCTCCAAGCAGATCGGATTCGTCTCCAATCGCGGCGAGGCGCTGCCCAAGGACATCTTCGAGATGCTGTGTGGTCAGAACCTGGTGTGGGTTAAATGTTACGACCACGTCATACCCGAGAAGGCCGTCCTCTGCGGACGCAGTTCGCTGGACCAGCCCGTCTACATTGGCCGCGGCCACTACGAGGGCCACCTGATCATCGGCAAAATATCCTCCGTCCATCGGGCTCTCTTTATCGCCTTTCGCGGGGCCGAGCGCCGGCTGGATTCGTACGAGATCCTCGTGGAGGAGAGGAGGGTTGTGCCCGGCTGGCAGCTGCCACCGCCGCCGCCGCCGGAGGAGCTGGAGAAGTGTCCACTAACACCGCCGCCGCCCCCGTCTCCACCTACACCCGCTCCGCCTGTGGTTGAGAAGCCGTATAAGTATCCGCATCTGGCCGCAATGCCGTTCCCAATGACCGACAGGCCACCAGCTTATACGCCCACGCCTGATCCTCTGCCGCCGGTGGGGGGAGTCCTTGTGATGCCCAGTCCCGCACATGCACCGCCACCGGGCGGTGTTTTAGTGATGCCACCTGTCCAGCAACCCCCACCGCCGCCCCCCTCCTACACCCCCGCGGCAGTGGCTCCGGTTCCAATTGTCGTCGCACCATCATACACACCAGCGGAGACGTACAAGCCACCCATGGACTCCTACGGAGCTGCCGGCTCCTCCTACACTCCGGCCGAGTATGCCCCTCCGGCGTATGGAGTGTCCTCATCCTACGGCTACGAAAGCGGCTACGACGTCTGGGTGACCGCTGGTCCGGGCTACTTCTACTCTCCGGAGGCCGTCATCGGAGGCCACGACAGCAACATGGAGCAGCTGCTCGTCTGCCGCGCCTACTATGCAGGTGTCCACGTCCCGGGCAAGGCAGTTGCCAGCCAGGGATGTGCGTACATCGCTCACGGCGGACGCGAGATTTTGGAGCCCACGTACCAGGTGCTGCTGGGGCAAGGAAAGTACCACTGGGTGCGCGCCTATGAAGGCAGTATTGCCCCCGGCGCCGTGATGGCGGGAAGGTCACCCGGAGGCGAGCCCCTGTACGTTGGACGCGCCCACTACTGTGGCAGTCTGACGCCCGGTGTGCTCCAGCAGTCGAATCGCTGCCTCCAGATCCCGTTTGGCGGCCAGGAGATCCGCATCAGCAGCTACGAGGTCCTGGTCCGCAGTGACCTCTACCACAGCCAGCAGGCCATGCGCCTGGTGTACTGAGCATCGATATTGATCCAAAAACGGAAACTACCGAAACGAATCGAGAGCAGCTACCTACCTCTACGAAAGGATCTACCCACATTTACTTACTATATACTTTGTCACATTTATTTATTATCTATTATGTCCTTTCACTAATTATATTTATTCACCCTTTGAGTTAATCAGCGATGAAAACGTGACTGATGCTTCTGTTCCAAGTCGTGAATCACGCGATACCTGTTTTGGGTATCTTTAGATACCCAAAAGGTATAAGGTATAAGGTTTCAACCCTATCGCATGGAATATGAATTTCGTTTGGATTGCTGCCAAAAAAACAGAAATATATTTTTTGTATCATAATTATGTCTGCAATCACAAACATTTATTGATTACGTTATCAGTCTATATAGTGGATATCGATAGATAATAGCTGCACCTGTAGATTTCTAGCTATGGACTACATTAGTAGATTACTAATTCCATACTTTACGCAATTTAATTTCGCATTCATATTCTTTGGGTTCGTGGCCTGGTTCTAGAATCCCACAATCATCTACCAATAATTACACTAATAGCTAGCAAAGAAATCCACTCAAAAAAAAAAACTGAATAAAAACTTCTGTTAAAAAATAGTCAAAAAAATATCGATATTATTAAAAATAAATCACTTGAAAATATATCATCGCTAGCATTCTGAGCAAAATTTTAAATTTTCGCGGCTGTTACTTCGTTAAACTTCGTTAAAAGTCTCAAATAATTAAAAAAATTGTGCGATGACGGAAAAATTTGATAAAAACAGGAACAGAGAATAGATATTATCAATTATTCTTATATATTATAATATTAAATTTTAAAGAAATCGAATTAGCATTTTGTTGAAACTCTAGAAACGCAACAATTTTCACATTTCGGGGAAGAACTTCGATAAAATATACAGAACATACCGCCAAAATGCAGCTAATGATCATCCCATAAATACTCGTTATTAACAAAGGCTTCTTTAAACGGATTGGGGATTTTATTTAAGGCGAAGAGATGCATGTAGTCAAAAAGAGAAGCAGAGTGGGAAAGAGAAAATGAATGTGCGTCTGCGTCACGCTTTGTTTTGTTTTGTGTACGTCCACTGCAAAAAAAAACGGTGCAAATTAAAGCTCATATATGTATGTATGCGTGTACAATGTACAATTACTCTGGAGATTTCTATAAATTGCAATTCATTCTTGGGCAAGCTTTGATCTATGTATGTTTGGAACTTCCCAGTGGTCAGCTGGGCGGAAACGATTTCTTGATGAAAGCTTCCGAAAGCTCGTTTACATCTTCTGTGCAATTTCACTATAACATGGGGACATGACAACAGCTTTTGCCTCTATGACCTCTTTGAATATAGAGTATAGAGAATAGAGCGTTGACGCACGTTGCTTGACCCTGAATATCGCCTGAAATTGACTGCATTTTCGGGAGTTTATAACTCTGCTATCTGAGATCCCTTTGATATATTGAGAATCGTGGCATGCTAATTTAGAATATAGGGGTCGCAGCTTTGTATAAGAATGATATCTCCAACAGGTCACACCGGAGTGTAGAAAAAAAAGACAAATAAAAACCACAAGTACCCATCGGATGGGCAAATACAGACGCGCTTTCCTCTCAGATGAGGTACAATACGTGGCTGTTTGTCCAGTGCTTACCCCCACTACCACCACACTGTGCTATAAACATCCACATGTTTTTTTGGAATCGGAAGTTCGTTCATTCGTTCGGTCAAAGCGGAAAACATCACAGCGGTCATAACCATAACCTCGCCCAAAGGAAATAAAACCAAACCAAAACACAACTATTTCACCACGAGACGAGGCTAGATCTCAGCTTGTTGCAGCAATTATCTATTCGACTCGCCTTGTCTAAATTGCGACAATTCGGTTTATCTGGCTTGCAAATAATACTCGTATGTACATACATCTCTGAATTGAATACTATTTGCTGCTGTCAAAGGTACAAACGTATAATTTTTTATTGTGGTTTGATTGTATAATAAACGTTTTTACATTTACAGATAAGATTTCGTTCTGTTTATGGAGGATTCTTGTTGGAAAAGTTTCGAATATCTCTCAACCGCTGTCAGGAATGGTGAAATAATCAAACTAAATCAAGTGATTGTCATCGGAACTGTCAAGCGCGATCCACACGTGGGAATGCCTGTACGCATCCACAGGTATTTCACAGAACACCTGAGAAACGGATGAATCACGGTTTTCGCACGCGATACAGATTTCGTCTCGGTTAGTCCCCCGATCTGTCGAGTTCTGCTTAAACGACCCCAGAGGGGAAATCCATGCACGCAAATGGAATTGGAATACGCGCTTACTCCCAGCCAGAGCCAGAGCCAGAGCCAAAGCCAGCCCAGCCTCCTCTGCAGAATGCAAGCGGGTTTCATTTGTTGGGTAAACAGACAAACAGGTTATGCCTCCAATAAGACCAGACCTGAACGAACCGAGAGCAGAGGAGAGCCGAGCCGAGCAGAGCAGAGTCGTCTATCCGAGTCTATCTAATCTACCTAATCTGCATGTGGGGACTATAATCACTTGTCGAACTGTTTTTGTTTGGCTTGAAACTGTTTACCAGTCAGGACCGAACCAGGAATGAGTATTGCTCCCCCAATTGGAGCGCGTCCGTCGCGACGGCGGTTGCCAGGGGGAGCACCGATTAAATTATACGATCGTGTTTATTGCGGTCTCCGAAGCCGATGCCGACCCGAGATCTGAAACCGAGCTGTCGTCGCAACCAATTGACTGGGACTCGTCCAGTTCAAATCGCGCGCTCGCTGACTCCAGACGCCAGCCTCTACTCTACCCTGCTCTTGCACTTGACCAAGTGATAGTCTGTCACGGAGCATACAATACCATAGCATACCATACCATACTCGTGCCAAAGATACAGAACGTGAAACGAACCGACGCGTCCCGTCCAATCAGTCCGTCGTTGATTGCCGTCCGAAAAATCGGCACGTGCTGCGTAAGTGTCCAAATTGGGGAACGAAATCTCTGGGGAGTGTGTGCAATCTGGGGAACCCATATATATATACATAGATCTGTCCAGAGTATACAGTCTAGAGTATAGAGGTGAGTGTAAAGCTGTGCGCGGAGATCGACAATTGTCAATTGAGAATCGTAATGAACGAGAAAATATCCCACTTTCCAATTGTTGTTAATTTATTAATATATGGATGCTTTTTCATTTGCGCAATCAGACTAATTTCCTTAAATTGACTTGGGAAAATGGTTCTCACTTTTTCATCAGTGCTTGCACTTTGCGGGTTCGATCTGTGCTCGTGCTTCGCATATATCAATATGCATATTCAATATGAATAAATAAACTAATACATAAATAAATAAGTAATTACAAAACTTATCCAAGTATTTCTACGTCTTAAAAAGATTCAAAAATTGAACAATAAAAGTTATCTGTTCAAATAAATACCTATTATTTTCGGATATATTCAATATGAAACTTATCAGTTTCAAATTCAAAGTGTCATCGAAGTGGAGGAGCATATAAAGTCGTTGGCATGATATTTCCTTTTTACAAAAGACTTGGAGACTAACCACCGAGACCTTTTGAAATGACCAGCCAATGCCATGAATATTATTGTTGCAATAAACCTTAAATTAGTTAGACTTCAAGATAGTACTTTACAGTGGCATTTATTGCTCGTTTAGCAATCAGCTCGAAAAGATTTTGAGGTATACATAGAGATACATTGGTGGGTCACTGAACCAAATACATAAGTCAATACTGATTGTTTTATTGTTAAAATACAACCTAGAAAATATTCCTTGTTTCAAACCAACAACAAATAGGTGTTTGTTAGCCTGGTTTAACCTCGACCCAATCCCCTTGCTTACAGGTTTGATTTTCAAAAGTCCCAAACAACAAAATGGATCTCAAAACAACGAAAAAGGAGGAATCGCAGCTGCCCCAAGTGGGGGATTTCCTGGCACAGGATGGAGCTGTCCAGCAAAATACAGAAAAGAAGTACAACTACCTGGATATGGTGAGAGCCCCCGAATGCAATCAGCATGCAAATGGAATATCGTTCAATATCGAGCTTGTTCTCCTCCAATCTGCAGTTCAGATACTCCACCAGGTTCGAGCGAGTGCTGATCGGGTTCAGCATCGTGGTGGCTGCCGTCGCATCAGCATTCATTCCCTTCTTCATGATCATCTACGGAGAGTTCACGTCCCTGCTCGTTGACCGCACAGTGAGAGTGGGCACCTCCTCGCCCACATTCGCGCTGGCAATGTTCGGAGGCGGAAAGCGACTGTAAGTCCCGAGAAAAGTCCGTCCCCAGGAGTAGTCCCAATTTAGCTTAAATCTATTGCAGAACGAACGCCAGCAAGGAGGAGAATCAGCAGGCCATCATCGATGACTCCATCGCCTTCGGTGTAGGAAGTCTTGTGGGATCGGTCGCCATGTTCGTGCTCATCACCCTAGCCGTTGACATTGCCAACCGGGTGGCGCTAAACCAGATCGTTCGCATCCGCAAGGTGTTCCTGGAGGCCATGCTGCGGCAGGACATTACGTGGTACGACACCACCTCCGGTACCAACTTCGCCAGCAAGATGACAGAGTAAGTTGAATCGCATCCGAATGAAGTTGATCCCAGCCAAGCTGACCGCTGACTGACTGTTCTGCAGGGATCTGGACAAGCTAAAGGAGGGAATCGGCGAGAAGGTGGTGATAGTCACCTTTCTGTTCATGACATTCGTCGTCGGCATTGTTGCTTCGTTCTTCTACGGCTGGGGCCTCACACTGGTGATTGTCGGGTGCTGTCCCTTGATCATCATCGCCGGCACAGTGGTGGGCAAGATGCAGGGCACCCTAGCCGAAAAAGAGCTCAAGGCCTACTCGAACGCCAGCAATGTGGCCGAGGAGGTGTTCAGCGGAATTCGCACCGTGTTCGCCTTTAGCGGGCAAAAGAAGGAGAAGGATCGTTTTGGCAAGCTACTGATCCCCGCCGAGGCCACAGGCCGCAAGAAGGGTCTCTACACGGGCCTGGGCGGTGCTGTCACCTGGCTGATTATCTACCTTTGCATAGCCCTGGCCGTTTGGTACGGATCGAAGCTCATTCTGGAGGATCGCAACCTCGAGGACCGCCAGTACACACCTGCGGTCCTTGTCATCGTCCTGTTTGCTGTCATTATGGGAGCACAGAATCTCGGTTTCGCCTCGCCCCACGTCGACTCGATGGCAGTGGCCACTGCCGCTGGACAAAACCTATTCAGAATCATCGATCGCCAGTCCCAGATCGATCCCATGGTCGAGATGGGGGCTAAGCCAGACAGCATCACGGGACGCATCCGCTTCGAGAACATTCACTTCCGCTATCCCGCCCGACCAGATGTCGAAATCCTCAAGGGCCTGACCGTGGACGTGGAGCCGGGCCAGACGGTGGCCTTCGTCGGTGCATCGGGCTGCGGCAAGAGCACGATGATCCAGCTGATGCAGCGGTTCTACGACCCCGAGCAGGGGAGCGTCAAACTGGATGGACGGGATCTGCGCTCTTTGAATGTTGGCTGGCTGCGCTCGCAGATCGGCATCGTTGGCCAGGAACCGGTTCTGTTTGCCACCACCATCGGCGAGAACATCCGCTATTCCCACCCGGAAGCCACACAGGCGGACATAGAGCGGGCGGCACGTGCCGCCAACTGTCACGATTTCATCAGCAAACTGCCCAAGGGTTACGACACCCATGTGGGCGAGAAGGGCGCCCAGATTTCGGGCGGGCAGAAGCAACGCATCGCTATTGCCCGAGCGCTGGTGCGGAAGCCGCAGATCCTGCTCCTGGACGAGGCAACGTCCGCCCTGGATCCCACATCAGAGAAACGGGTGCAGAGCGCCCTGGAGCTGGCTAGCCAAGGACCCACAACTCTGGTGGTGGCCCATCGCCTGTCGACCATCACGAATGCCGATAAGATCGTGTTCGTTAAGAACGGAGTGGTGGCGGAGCAGGGCACCCATGAGGAGCTCATGCAGCAACGTGGCCTGTACTGCGAGTTGGTGAACATTACCCGGCGGAAGGAGACCACGGAACAGGAGGAGACCGGAGATAGAGCGCTCCAAAAGGCACAGAACCTCTCCGAAGAGGAGGAGGATGACGAAACCGATGATGATGAGCCAGAACTGGAAGCGGGGACCAGCAGGGAAAGTGGATTCAGCCGCGCCAGCACCCGTCGCAAACGTAAGTTAACGAGCTAGTGATGCGGGAGCCCAAAGGATAACCATCAACCGTCTTTCCATTTTGCAGGTCGCTCGCAGCGTCGCAGCAAGAAGCAGAAGCCGGAGGCTCCCAAGTTTTCCTTCACGCAGCTGATGAGGCTGAATGCCCCCGAGTGGCGCTTCATTGTGGTCGGGTGCATTGCCTCGGTTTTGCATGGAGCAACCTTCCCGCTGTGGGGCCTTTTCTTCGGTGACTTCTTCGGGGTGCTCGCCAACGGAGACGACGACGTGGTACGTGCCGAGGTCATCAACATATCGTGCATCTTCATCGGGATCGGCGTGCTGGCTGGACTGGGGACCATGCTACAGACCTACATGTTTACTACGGCGGGCGTGAAGATGACTACCAGGCTGCGGAACATGGCTTTCGGCACAATTGTGTCCCAGGACATTGCCTACTTCGACGATGAGCGGAACTCGGTGGGTGCGTTGTGCTCCCGCCTGGCCAGTGACTGCTCCAACGTACAGGGGGTAAGTTAGCAGAGTACGTGGTGTGTCTGGCGAATCCTGCTAATCCTCCCAATCCTCACGTGGTTACAGGCTACCGGTGCTCGCGTTGGAGTCATGCTGCAAGCCGTCTCCACTTTGGGCATCGGCATGGTCGTAGGTTTTGTCTTCTCTTGGCAACAGACGCTTCTCACGCTGGCCACCCTGCCGCTTGTCTGCCTGTCGGTGTACCTGGAAGGTCGCTTCATCATGAAGAGCGCCCAGTCAGCCAAGGCGGCCGTCGAGGAGGCTTCGCAGGTGGCTGTGGAGGCGATAACCAACATTCGGACTGTGAACGGACTGAACCTGGAGCGTCGCATCCTGGAAACCTACGTCCAACAGATCGACAACGTGGATGTTGCCTGTCGTCGCAAGGTTCGTTTCCGTGGCGTGGTCTTTGCCCTGGGACAGGCGGCTCCCTTCCTGGCCTATGGCTTATCCATGTACTATGGTGGACTGCTCGTGGCCGATGAGGCTATCAATTATGAGGACATTATCAAGGTGGCGGAAGCCCTGATCTTCGGTTCTTGGATGCTGGGCCAGGCGTTGGCCTATGCCCCGAACGTGAACGATGCCATCCTTTCCGCTGGCCGCCTCATGGAGCTGTTTAAGAGCAACTCCACTCAACCCAATCCGCCAGAGAATCCCTACAACACCGTGGAGGTGAGTTCCTTCCGACCCATTACCTTTTTCATGGGTTCTGACATCTGGTTTTGTTATTATTCTAGAAATCTGAGGGCGACATTGTGTACGAGAACGTGGGCTTTGAGTATCCGACCCGGAAGGGGACTCCCATACTGCAGAACCTGAATCTTTCCATCAAGAAGTCGACGACTGTGGCTCTTGTAGGTCCGTCAGGTTCTGGCAAATCGACCTGCGTGCAGCTGCTGCTCCGCTATTATGACCCCGTCTCCGGATCGGTGAATCTCAGTGGAGTGCCGAGCACAGACTTCCCTCTGGACACGCTGCGCTCCAAGCTGGGGCTGGTCTCGCAGGAACCCGTGCTCTTCGACCGCACTATTGCCGAGAACATTGCGTACGGGAACAACTTCCGGGACGAGGTCTCCATGCAGGAGATCATCGAAGCGGCCAAAAAGTCCAACATCCACAACTTTGTCAGCTCTTTGCCGCAGGGCTACGAGACGCGCCTTGGCAAGTCGTCGCAGCTCTCTGGAGGCCAGAAGCAGCGCATTGCCATTGCCCGGGCTCTGGTGAGAAATCCCAAGATTCTGATACTTGACGAGGCCACATCTGCTCTGGATCTGGAGAGCGAGAAGGTTGTTCAGCAGGCCCTGGACGAGGCTCGTTCTGGACGTACCTGTCTCACGATTGCCCACCGCCTAACCACAGTACGGAACGCGGACCTGATCTGCGTCCTCAAGAGAGGTGTGGTCGTTGAGCATGGTACGCATGAAGAGCTGATGGCTCTAAATCGCATATACGCCAATCTCTACCTGATGCAGCAGGTGGCGGGATAAAACACACCCATCGGCATTATTTAGTGTGTAAATTAGAGTAATAGGAAATTAGATACGAATAGAATAAATAAACAGAAAAGCTACGAAATAGACTTTCAGGCCTTGTGGATGCCAAGGGTTAGGTTAAAATTACATTGTTGTTGTTATCCCATACACGAAATGGGATGTTCCTTTGACGGACCTTTTTCAGTCATACTTGAAGTTAGCTTTACCGTGCTAGTAGGCCCTTGAATTTGTGTATCTCTCACTGAAAACACATCTGGGCTTCTACACTACACATTAATAATTTGTCCGAGGCTGAAAAACTTAAAATTTACTCAACGGATGAAGCGTTGAAGTCATCGTCACACGAACACGCCAACTTGCACATTCAAGGACATCCATTAGGAGAGTGGTACAGGACGAAGACAGCACCCATCACGCCAGCAACTTCTGGCCTTGCTAACAATTCGGCAGTCGGTATGCTAAGACATTCCTCATTGCAATATGTGGATAACACATCGAATGCTGGGGAATATGAGTGGGTCCATAGAAACCAGACGGCAATGGAATGCTCCGAAAACTGGGCGGAATACTATGGGTCAACCGAGAGGACAGCTGATTCGAGACATTCGTACGATTTCAAAGTCCTGTTTCAAGAGTGCGAAAATATAATCAATCTCGGGTTGGTAGCGAGCAATAACCACTATCTGCAGCAAAAGAAGGAGCATGGTCCTGAAGCAGCTATATCTGGCCGGGTTGATCTTTCGGTCGAGCTGGACAAACTGAAGATTAACTCACATGAATTTCCTCAAGGCAATTCTTTCCAGCGGCATCCATCCTTTCCTGTACCTGTCCTTCAATCTAATGATTCGGTTTGGGCGCTCAAGAATTCGTTATTGCACAATGTGGAAAATACACCGAAGGCTGAGGGATTTGACTGGGCCCAGAGTAACCTGGCGGAAATGGATGGCCCGGAAAACTGGGTGAACAGCGATTTGATATGCAATGGGAGAACCGTTTCCAGTAATCCCTACAATTTTAATGAACTGACTCAAGAGTGCCAAAATCTAAATAGCGGAAATGGCTCTTCGGATAATGTAAATGTCAATGAACTTTCCAGCTATTTTGACGACATTGTCCATATTCCCAAGAATATGACAGAATGGGCTGATCGAATGTACACTTGAATGTATTCCGGAGGATTGATTGTGTCGTATGTCTTAGAATAAGCGGGCATGGGAATGTGCATTTTTAAACTAAAATTTGTTAAGAACTTGATGAGGGGGGTGGTGGGGGTCGGTTAAAATATATATTTCTGTCATTTGCTTGCACCTGATTAAATATAATATAAATTATACAATGCAACATATTTAGAATTTAGTATCAATAGAATATATTATTTAACGGACGGTACATTAAATGGTAGATCAAAAATTCTCCCTACCTGTTTTAATTGTGCCATGCACAAAACGACTATCGATATATCGATGATTTCGATGCGATATGTTATATTCCATCTCAGCTGCAGCTGTTTAATTTTTTGTTGACGTTGTGCATACGCGTAAATTATTATCTTAAATAGTTAAGCTTGAATATATAACTAGCAAAAAACAGAAAGAGAACTATGTCGGCGGTGGCCTATGAGCTGCTGTCCACAACGGCGGTGATCAGCACCGTATTTCAGTTTCTGTCCGGCGCGTAAGTATTTCCAATTTATGTATATGTTTTTGAAGCAATTAGAACTAACGATTTGTTTTCATGTAGCATGATATGCCGCAAGTACATACAGAAGAAGAGCACTGGCGACTCTTCCGGAGTTCCATTCATTTGCGGCTTCTTATCGTAAGTATAAACTGTCGACGTTGCCATTGCCGGCCACATGGCTCGACATCCTATGATAAATTTGAATTGGTTGCGGTTGTCGTTGTAGGGCAAGAGTTGATTGTGTTCGTGGAACACGTCAAGAGATACATTGTCTACTGTTGCGTCGCAGGGTTGGATGCACCTGATGAACGCTTTCACGCCTTTAACAATTTAAATAAATGCCATTTGTTTTAACAGCTGTAGCTTTTGGCTGCGTTACGGCGTTCTAACCGAAGAGCAGAGCATTGTTTTGGTCAACATAATTGGATCAACACTCTTTCTGATATACACGCTGATCTACTATGTCTTCACTGTGAACAAACGTGCCTTCGTTAGGCAATTTGCATTCGTTCTTTCCGTACTGATTGCGGTCGTCGTATATACCAATCGACTGGCAGACCAGCGCGACGAAATGATACGCATTACAGGTATAAAAGGTATCCGAACCTATGATTACATTAATAAAATAAAATTTTTCTTTTTCAGGAATTTTCTGCTGTATTGTCACCGTGTGTTTCTTTGCTGCCCCCCTGGCTACTCTGCTGCACGTCATTCGGGCGAAAAACTCTGAGAGCCTACCACTGCCCCTTATAGCCACATCCTTCTTGGTCAGCCTGCAGTGGCTAATCTACGGCATTCTCATATCGGACTCGTTTATCCAGGTACCTATTTTCGCATGATTCCCCAGACATATATTATTAACGGCAAACATCTACTTTACTTTAGATACCCAACTTTCTCGGCTGCCTCTTGTCCATGCTGCAGCTGAGTCTGTTCGTGGTGTACCCGCCACGCAGTTACTCTGGGCAGGGCTATAAGCTAGTCGAGCAGGCTGTGCCATTTTAGAGACTAAGTGGATGTGGGTTATATGGAAATGCGCCTCTGGCATAAGAGCACGTCTCATGCAGGATATATGTATGTATATTTTAATATACGAGAAGTATAGCGGGGCGGATATGCTGCTTGCTTATTTACTATAGACATATGTACGTAATAGTGATTGTATATTTTAAAGTATTTATTAAATTATTTGTCTCAAAAGTGTGTACTTACATCACTATGCTGATCTTTGGCGCCCATCAGGATTTATCCTGTACATTATGTCCTTGCTTAAAGAATAAAACGCTGTAATGTTTTCGAAAAAAGTTATATATGTATGTGTTATAGAGTAATCTAATTTAACAACTTGATTTTAAATTGATACCCCGAACATTGTCCTTGAAGGAAATCTGAATCCAAGCGATCATCAATCTTGGTTCTCCCGATTACAAGGAGGCGTGACACGCCCAGATCGGACAAGAAAAAGCGATATAGTTAAAAATTAGTTCATTAAATTGCCGGCGATCGGTCGGAGCGCCGGTATCCAGACAGCCGGAATGAGAATATAATAATATATATAATATACTTTAAAACACATACGGCATTCACCGAAAAATATGTATGTAAATACAGGCAGAAATCCATATGTAAAAAATGAACTCACTAGAGTTTCACTACTAACTGAAATATTTTGCGCTTCCGAAACATCCGACGATCGCCTATTTCGATTTCAACCATCAAGACCACTATCGTTTCTTTTACCAACTCTATGAAGAATCACTGCGTTCTTTTTATTATTATTATTATTTTCGCTCTCAAATCGTGCTTGCGTGCATAATTTATTCCAATGGATTGGATTTAAATCCTTGTCGCGCATTTCAAACAATTTTTATTTGGCGCGCACCACTCGTCTCTTTTTGCTCTCTTCAAATCTCTTTTGCTCTCGCCAAGAAAATTTTGTGGGCGAGGACGATTAACCCATTGTAAGCCGAGGGGGTATTTTAATATTCCATCGAAAATAATGAAAATTGAATCATGTTAGCGCAGCTCAGATGAAAGAAATCGTGTTTTTTTTTAAGGTCAGAGAAAATATGGCATGGATCTACAAGAAGAATTTACCATCACTAATATTTGCCGCCATTTACCTCAAGTCGTTGAACGGTTTAATTATAGGGGGGTTATGTGGGCTATACCGATTGTCGATTTATTATCGACTAATCGTATGACGAATCACCGTGTTCCTTTGTTGAAATATCCGTATTTATAATTAAAATTCGAATCTCGCCATTCAAAATGATGCAAGAACAAAGTCCTGAGCTGTACGAGGAGGTGAAGCTCCATCGCAATGCCCGCGAGCGTGAGAGGTACGACAACATGGCGGATTTGTACGCCATTATAAACACAATCCAGCAGCTGGAGAAGGCCTACATTCGGGACTGCATTACGCCGCAGGAGTACACGGCTGCGTGCTCCAAGTACTTGGTACAGTACAAGATTGCCTTCAAGCAGGTGCAGTGCGACGAGTTCCCCTCAGTGGAGACGTTCGTCAAGAAGTTCCGTCTGGACTGCCCAGCAGCGCTAGAGCGCATGCGGGAGGATCGCCCTATCACCATACGCGACGACAAGGGAAACACATCCAAGTGCATTGCCGAGATTGTCTCCCTGTTCATAACGATTATGGATAAGCTGCGTCTACAGATCAACACTATGGACGCCCTGCAGCCCGATGTGAAAGACCTGGCTGACAACATGAATCGCCTGTCCCTTATTCCCGAAGACTTTGATGCCAAGCAAAAGGTCGACAAGTGGCTGGGCAGCTTGAACGAAATGCAGGCATCGGATGAGCTGACAGAGGGTCAAGTGCGTCAGTTCCTCTTCGACTTGGAGTCGGCCTACGCGGACTTCAACAAACTGTTGCACAGCCAGTAGTCGGGTCGTTAGCCATTGTTCGTTTCTTAGCCTCCAAATGTATCTCTAAATGTAAAATAAATTAGTATATTATATTCCACATTAAAACGTGTTTATTCGTGTATAAAAGCTCTGTGGTCTTTATTCCATTCCAGATAAACAAAAATGGGTAAAAGATTTGCATTTGTTTGGATTTAATCGTATCTTCTTTTTTGTATTTAGTTTAAATATTAAGGTTATAATTATACATATAAGTTTAAACCGATTACAATAATTGTTGTTTGTTTTGTTTTCTTTCGCTTTATCTTTATCATCCACGTAATGTTTGTTGTTTTGTTTTAGTTCTCTTTAATATATATACTCGTAGTTTTAATTTACTCTTCTGCTGTTCTGCTTTCTGTTCGGTTTCTGCTCTGTTCTGTTCTGTTTCCTCTTACGCACCTAATCTGTTACATCGCTTTACGCCTTTAATAATTAATAATTGTTACTCTTTATCTTTGTAGATTTATTTGTATGCAATGTGAAAATGGTACTTGGTATATTTATGCGGATGTTGCTGTATGTTTCTTGTTTGTTTGTTTTTTTGTATGTATGTATGTGGCATTCATGCGTGTACGCGTCCGTGAGAGTAGCATCCTAGATGCACCTGAGCCACACATCCTCTCTGTGCTCCTGTCTCGGGTATGGTATGGGCGTTGGTTGTGGGCATGGGCATGCTGAAGGAGGAGGCGTGGCCTTTTTCGGTGCGCTCGTAGTAAAAACGTTTCTTATTAAGTAAAGTATGATCGCTTATCTTCGTATATTAGATAGTCATCGTCCGATGAAGACGACGACTCCTCGCTCGCCTCTTCAACGGCGTGTGTTTGTGGTTGTGTGTGTGTGTGTGTTTGGGGTGTGAATTGGGCTTCTGTCTGCTATGGTTGTGACTGCTCCTCGAACAGCATTAATAACTGACTGGGCGTGGTGGCTGATGCTGGGGTCGTGGTTGTGTTGGCGTCGTCTGTGGCGACTCCAGTTGCGGCGGTGGCTTCTGTAGTGGTCACTATGTCTGCTGTCATTGTATTGGTTACGGACAACGCTTCCGAATTGCTGATACTGTAGTTGTAGCTGTGATTGTTCTTGTAAATGTGTATGGGCGTGGTGCGGAGGCTATAAAATTCGCTCGCTAGGCAGGCGGCAGGCTGCAGAGCGATCTGCCAGATTGTGTTCTCCGGAAGCTAGTTCTGTCCGGTCCAGTACGAGGGCGAGTAGCCCTGCTTGCCGGCCGACTTTGACTGGCTGCTCGACTGCTGACGCTGGCCGGCGCTGTTCGAGTCCTGCAACAGAATGGGAAGGTCAGTAATAAAGCAGGTTTTCGATTCCCTGTTCCCAGAAGAACAGTGCTCCCTCTTCCGGTCTCCACTTAGCTTAGCCATCGATTCACAATTGTTAACATACATATAGAGTACACATATAGTATATCACTTATTTACACAGCAGATATGGTATGGTCATGAGAGATGATTCTGATTCTGATTAAAGTAGAGTCTTTCGATAACTGATTTCCTTTTGATTTCATTTTGAGTTTTCTCAGCTACGAGTTGGCGTCGTTTCTATGGAGGAGGATTCATGCAGACTACAGAATAAATGAGCCGATGTGGGTGGAGACAACAAGTCGATGGTATGGGATGGGATGGGATGGCACGGCATGTGGGGGTTAGATACGAGTTGTAGTGCGTGTTTACCAGAAATTAAGCAACTTTTACACATGATTTACAACAAAGGAACTTACCCGGCGGGATGAGCTATGAATCCTGCCGTCCATCTAGTTGTCCCATAAAAAAATCAAAAGAAATTATAAAGAAAGGTCATACAATAGAACAATTTCATGCATTTTAGAATTCTCTTCTCTCTCTCACTCTCTCTGTCTCTGGCACTTGCTACCCAACAACCAACCCAATGGATATGGCTGATGAGTCTGATGAGATATACTCAATTCCGTGTTCTATAGAGTCTACACTCCTTTGAGACTCAAAATACAAAATACCAAAATCAGAAAATGCATGAAATATGTTTGGGTTAGTCACGAATACGCTCTTAGATTAGAGGAAAAGAAAGGAAAAATAAAAAACAACAAACGTTTGGTTAAGAAAATATAAAGAAAATTTTCAATGTACAAACACGTGTATGGATGCATAAAAGAATTACAAAATGATAGTGTGATTGGATTAGTGAGGAATGTTGGTTAGTCTTTGGGCTTACAAAAGTGTTCAGTGTACGTTTATTTTGTTAGAGATTCTAGAGATTTAAAATTCCCTCCTTCCGTTCTACAGAGGGAAACATGCGGAATAAAACTTGTGTATGCTGCAACCTAAAAATAAAATTAAAACCAAAACCAAACCAAGCCAATATGAAAGTGTCTTCGAGAGAGTGCGTGTGTGCCGCCGAGAGAGTAACGTAAAGCGCATATTTAATATGAACACAATCAAATGGATTGTTGATTGTGTTTGATTGATGGGCTGTATTTGGTCTAGAGCTCAATGGAGGCCCCCCTCTGACAGGTCTAGCAGTCGTCCATGAATGATATTTCGCAGACATTATCTTGAAGGTTGTCGGACAGCTCTGGCTGGCCCTCGTCCCCAAAAATGCAGTTGTAATCTTGATCTTGATCTGTGTGAGTGCCACCATCGTCATAGTGAGAATCCCTCCAAATTTGCTCTTTCTTGATTTCAACATGTGTTCCAATCTCAAGGATGTGATTCTCGCAGCCTCCTCGTACCACAATCACTTGTTGCATTTCGGACCCTACCTGGTGTATGGGCTGATGTATCATATTGTGGTGTCCGGCTGCTGGCATCGGCAAGTACATGCCGTACGGCTGGGCCGAGGTACCGCCCGCTGTCTGCGTGTTGGCCATGTTGAACGGTGGCGGTGTGCCCGAGTGGAAACTCTGCTTCTCATACGACTGTAGGGGAAAATGGAGAATCGGAATCGGGTGTTAGAACGACTAGGATGACTGGCCAAGCTGTACGTACATTAACCTTGTTCAGCGCCACGTGGCCCTTGCCGTACATCGATGAGGTCAGGTCTGAGGCAGTGCCCGCCTGCGGCTGGTTGGAAACCGTCTGGGTTTTCGTTTGTTGATTCACGCTCGTCGAGTAGCCGCCCTTGCTGTAATCCTGTGTGGTCTGTGAGAGGGTGTCGTAGTTGGTTGAGCCGTAGCCCGCGCTGTACGATGGCTTCGGGAACTGTCCACCGGATGCCGTGTTTGCCGTCGGTATTTGTTGCTATTCAAAAATAACATTGCATACATTAGGACATATATGGAGGAATAT